ACGCCGCGCACTGCGGCCATGGTGGCTCACGACGAGCTCGGGGGGCTGCTGCCCATCAAACGGACTATCCGGGTGATCGACGCGCAGAACCAGTCCTTCAGGGAGCAGGAGGTGAGCTGGAGACGGGGGAAAAGGGTTGAAGGGAGAGCGGTGGGTATGGGGGCTCCCCCCTTTCTTCCCGCTCTCTGCGCCTGAGGGGCGGCGATCACCCAGGCAGTGATTTGTTTATATATTTCCTTTTAAAAGGCAATTTTCTTAGCCCCTGGAGGCAGCGGGAGCAGGGAGCAGACCCCGAGCTCCTGACCCTGCACTTCCCAGTGGGAGTTTCATTAAGAAACCGCCTGTTGCTCTGAGCGTTCTTTCCATTGACAGGATTTTTCCTAATTATGGTGCTTGTTTGCTGCATAAACCGAAAAAAACCACGTAAATTATGGAGGTTGGGGTGGGTTTTTTTGTTAAGTATTGTTATTTTTACCGTCCGTTGTTATGCAGAGGGCAATCGTTGCATTCCTGGTTGATGCCCGCATGCCTCCTGCTGCGACAGGAGGCAAAAGTTCAGCAGCCAGGTAGGGACCGGCTGCCCTGGGCAGGGCTTTATTGCCCAGATTAGCGGTGAGATGAGGTGGGAAAGGAAAAACAAGGCGGTTCCACACAGCTCTGGGGCTTTTGAGGGCTTTGGGCTCTTCAAACCCTGCCTTTCAAACAACCAAACTTGGGCAATCTCATTGTGCAAAAGGAGAACCAGATGTTGGGAGAGAAATAACATGAACCAGATTGCTTCAAGGAGAGCAAATCGCCTCTAATTCTTAAAACATGTATTTTCTGTAGGGTATAGCCAGTATCTGAGTCTGCGCTTGAGTAATGGCTCTTAAACCAACACTGTGCCAGTGCCAGGTACTGCGTTGTTATCGGGAGTTATCAGCGCTGCTCCTTTGGTTGCAACCAGCCGGTTGGATTTGGGAAAGGGCTGTAACCTCCTCCCAACGTGTCAAACCAGAGGCTGGTTGTTCACTTTGAGCATTGGGAACAGAGCTTGAGATTCAGCCGTCTCCTTGCACATGAATCTTAAATCAGGTGATGATTTCTGGCAGGAGCTGGTGACTAAAGCCCCTTTTTGCTTATTTGGCTGCATAGGAAAAGTTTGGCCGCGCGTGGTTGTTTGCTTTGTCACCGTGTTTGGTGGTGTGGGACAGGCACGTAGGACATTGCTCTCTAGTAAGTGATCCTTGTAAAACCCACTAATTATTACCCAGCACGAGGGGAAAGGTTGGAGCTGCTGCTGGAGGGGCATTGCTCAAAAGCAGAGCCTGGTTTTCTTTCCAGTAAGGTGTAATCCTTTCACAATCAAAGAGTTAACCTGCACTTAGAAGCACATGAAGAAATTCCACCAGTGGGAATTATTGCCTGCCAGCTGAGGCACAGATTTAGCTTTTTGTGTACGATATATTTATATCCACTTCTAATAAAGAGCCTCTTGGAAAAAAGAAGTCATTCTGAATGGAAGCGGTGCTGTTGGACTCGCTGGGCTTTTCATCAGTGCTTAACACCACCAGTTAGTTACAGGAACCTTGCAGGCTTCGTTCTAATCTGGGCTCCTGTAAGTAATACACTGCGGAGACAGGGCAATCATTGTTTAAAATAAAAACTCCAGCCTGAGCCAAAGTTATCCATAGCATGAACTGCTCCGAGGGCTCAGCTTACATCCAGTCTGACTGTAAGGGGAGTCCATGACCTCAACCTGAAATGCAGCTCGCGAGGAAGGTGAAGTTTCTGAGGAAAGGGGTTTTTTTCCTCCCTTCCCTGCCTTGGATCAAACAAGAAGGAAAAGAAGAAGCAGATGCTTCATTTTGGCAGTCGAGCCGGTCGTGTCTGAGCACTCGCGGAACAGAAAGTGGGATTTGTTTAAGAGAGGGGAAATGGCCTTTTGCTAAGCTGAATTTATAGCATACACAAGCCTTTCTGTTGGCCAGACACCCCAGGGAAGCACATTGCATGTACAGAAATCCCTCTGGTCATGCAGATCTATGTGAAATTCCTCCTTCCTCAAAGCAGAGGAGGGCTCCTTGAAGCAGTGCTCCCTCCTGATAAAATGGAGCAGTGTTTTCCCTTCGATCCCATCTTTGCACATCCCCATATATATCAACTGCTCGGAAAAGTGGTGGTTTATAATCCCAGGGAGCCCTTTTGTCCCACACGGAGAGGCAGGGATG